TGAGCTTGTTTGTCGGCCTCACATCTGCCACCAGGAGTTATGTGAGCCCTTCACACCAGGGTCCCGCATTCTCCCCACCCCATCTCATGGGCTGTGTGCATGTCCCTATTCTCCCCATTCCCTCTTCTATCCCTCCTCCATATTATTTTTTTTTCTGGGAGATCAGTCATTCAGGTGGACAACATCTTACACTCCGCTGGGAGGATGGGCAGAGCTGAGCTGGGGGTGTTATGATGCTGGAAGGCGTTAATCCAGCCATCAGCTGGTTGTTTGATCTATAGACAACTTCAAAGGTGCTTGAAGATGTGGCTGTGCTAAACAGATGCCAGGGATTTCATCTGTCCCCCATTTTCCCAGTTCTGGTTTACTGATTTCCCCTAAACTCAAAAGGGTTCTGGCCATTGGTGCCCAGGGCACTGCCTGAAATTTTGGAATTGATCAGATGAGGTGTTGAAAAATTATCCCATTCCAGACAGAGAGACAAACAGAAATGGCACCAAGCGGGGTGTAAGGGCGTTGCATGCCTGGCCCAAAAGTGACATTTCTAGGCTTTTTTTATCCCTTGGATGGGGCAGCATCCGCCACTTCCCTTCCTCGCCCATCCCCCATCCCCACAGCACCCCTATGCAGAGGGTGGCCGGCAATCGCAGGGGGAGTAGCCAATAGCACCAGGGCGCCTCAGCCTTACTGCCCTGGGTGAGGGGGATGTGCGGGGCAGAGCGCAGGGGAGATGGAAAGACCATTCTCAGGGGTGGGATGGGCTTGTGGGGATTCCCTTTGAATCCTCAGGGTCTGTTGGGTTTGCTGCCTGCATCCCTCCCTTCCCCATTACGTTACGCTGCAAACCTCCCTCATTGGTGTCTCTGAAGTACTTTTTCCCTCCCATGTGTTTCCCCGTGGAAGGTGAGCATCAGGGCCAGGCTGTTTGGTGTCAGATGAGCTGCAAAAGTGCAGGTTATTGATGCTTTAAGTAGCAGAAGTGGATGGTTGGTATTCGGGGGCTCTTTGGAGGTTTGCAGGTCACTACATGGTACCCCTGCACCAGCAAAATGCAGTGGTGAGGACAAATTTGGGATTTTGGTCATTTGGTCCTGAAGACAAAGATGCAGAAACTCCACATATGGGTCTTTCCATCGTTTTTAATTTTGCCATACCTTGCTATGGGATGTGAAATGTGAAAAAGCATTGTTTTTTTTATCTGTTTGGAAGCTGCAACCTGTGTCTGATATTAAAAGAGAAACGACATTCCATATTTAGAAGACATGGGATTTTTTCACATGCCACATTTAAAGAAAATTAACTTCTGTAACTTTCCGCTCACAACAGAGTTTCTCAGCCTGTTTTTTACTTCAATA